AGGGAGCGGGCACTGTCGGAGGGTCAGTGCTGAGGGAGCGGGCACTGTCGGAGGGTCAGTGCTGAGGGAGCGGGCACTGTCGGCGGGTCAGTGCTGAGGGAGCGGGCACTGTCGGAGGATGTTGGGAAATGGATGTTCTCTTGCTGGGAGAAGCTGTGGAGAGGTGGATGAGTGAAAATGTCACATGCCACGGAGGGCAGACCATGTCCCAACTCATAACACAACCACTCGGAGGCAAGTCAAACAACACGCCATACCTGGTCGAATAGCAGAGACTGGAAGGACACGATGGCCGAGAAATTTCCCTCCTTCCTCGAACACAGCAACTCGCAGAGAGGCCAGAGTTGGCAGCACCACCTGTGACGGACACACTCACCTGTCAGTGCCCCTCCCTCCAACAGTGCCCGCTCCCTCAGCGCTGACCCTCCGACAGTGCCCGCTCCCTCAGCGCTGACCCTCCGACAGCGCGGCGCTCCCTCAGCACTGACCCCTGACCCCTAGGCCCTACCTACCCCTCTGGAGGGAAATACCTTTCTGAACACAAAGGGCTCGTCATCCCAGACCGGATTGAGGGAATTCACCAGGGTCTTGGTTCGAAATTTGCGTTTTGTATCGACCGGGAGACCAAACATATCGACCTCAACGTACATCCCAACTTTCCGATCGGATAGGAACTGTCCCGAGATGATCTGTTCAACAATATCACCCCATTAACATCAGCATTCCCAGCTCCATCACCTCATTTCACCCACCAGGAGCCTGGCTGATCGGAGCTGTACTATCAACAGGAACAGCACAGGCTGGCTGGAGAGGGGGCTGAATGGCCTCCTGCTCCTGTGGGACAGGCTCGACGAGGGGGCTGAATGGCCTCCTCCTGTTCCTGTGGGACAGGCTCGAGGAGGGGGCTGAATGGCCTCCTCCTGTTCCTGTGGGACAGGCTCAACGAGGGGGCTGAATGGCCTCCTCCTGTTCCTGTGTAACAGCGTCGAGGAGGGGGCTGATGGCCTCCTGTTTCTGTGTGACAGGCTCGAGGAGGGGGCTGAATGGCCTCCTCCTGTTCCTGTGTAACAGGCTCAAAGA